ATTATCAAATAGTAAGAAAATGTAATTATCGAATCTGCAACTTTTCGTTTATTCGCTGTTCAAAATTTTATATAATTCGGACTAATCCAAAACATGCGAATTAATATTATTATTAAAAAAAATCTGTATATTGTTTTTAAGGCGAAAAAACACCAATGGACAAAAGGGAAGAAACACTGTCACACAGTTTTTGAATTAAATCAAGTAGTATTTTCATTCGCATGTCTTTTTCATTTTTGAATGTATTTATTTAGTTTTACACCAAGGTATGTTTTTAGATTATATTGCATTTAATGTGTTTTTAAAACCAAAAATGTTTTCGTATAATTTTGATCGTGCAACGATCAAGTTTTTCAAAATTGTATTCGATTGCGAAAATATTTATAAGAAAAAGCCATCAGGTTTATGTTGGAACCAGAGAAAGGTATAAAAGAAAAAAAAAAGTTGAAAAACATCATCAGCCTTTCAACATCTGGTCACTACGTTCCAATTCTGTGCTGCCCAGTTTTCCAGTCAGTCGTCGCCGCTCGCCGCGACTCGCAACAGAATCATCCCCGCCGTCCGATCTAAAAGGAGCGATATCAATGACCTCGAGCGGTCGTAATAATAGTTTCCCGGGAGGGGAAGGGGCGGAGTCGTGCGGGAGTCGCGCGCTCTCATTCGTCGACGCACCCGCGGCCATCTTGGAACTATTGAGCAGCGCGGCGGTGGGGGTGCGCATTCGCTGGCAGGCGAGCCAGTTTTTGTGGATGTGCGTGCTGTCCGATCCCTTGGGAGGGGAAACGTCTCCCGCCACTAACGGTGCCCCGAGTGGAGGGGATGATTTGTTTGTTAGTTTCTCGAGTTTGTTTGTTAGCGCAACTTGGCAACTTTATTCCGCTTCTGTTTTTTGAGGAGTAAGGATGGTTAAGGATTTTTTCGATGTTTGCGGGAAAAGAGCGAATTTTCGTTGGGGTGGGGCGAATTTTGACGTCGTACAGCGTTGCCAGATTTTTTTTCAATGTTGGCGTTAATAGTATTTTTACACACTGGTTTCCTCATATTTTTGCATTGCGCGTATTTTTGAAGAAATCTAAGGTGGGCAATCAGGATATTTTAATTTTAACAATTCAAAAACCTAACATAAAAAATGTTCTTGAAGAGAAAAATGGTTTTTTTTGCCGTTTGCCGTAGAATAAAACAGATTAGCTACTGACGACCTAGATAGAAACTATCGTCATGGTGTAGGCATCCTAATAGAAAAGAGCCTACGAAAATCGGTAAAGGATGTTGTCCCTGTTTTTGAGAGGGTTGCTCTGACATAATTCAGGTATATGCTCCCACTTCAGAAAAACCTGACATTGAAGTTGAACAATTTTACGGGCAGATGGAGCAGACAATCAAGCTGACGAAATGCAATGGAAGTCACTGCAAGACAATGAACAACAAGTTGTTCGAAACCAGATTGATTTCGTCATGATCAACCGCAGAGTTAGAAAAACCATAACCAGAGTCGTTGCGTTGCCTGGCGCAGAAAAGAATTAGCAAGAGATTTGACCCCAGATTACTTAGTAACAGCGACATAACATCTTAACAGACGACTATCAAACATCAATGTCACAGACGACATCGACGAATGCTGGGCTAACATCAAAAATGCGTTTGGAACCGCCAGTAACACCTATCTACTAAAATAGAACACCATAACAAGAAATGAGTGGATGAACAGTTAAAAACTGGAACTAATGGAAAAGCGCAGACAATGCAAGATTCATAATGACTGAACTGGCTATCGATACTATCAGAAAAGAAGTCGCAATGAAACCAGAATTGCTAAGAACTGGCGTACACCTTACCCGAATGGGCGACAGCGTTCGTCTTCACAAGAAAACAAAAGAGATCGCAGGTCTGTGCAAGAAAACACCAATAACCCATATCCGAGATGAAGAAGATGAAACAATACTAGAGCCCGAGAAACTGCTGGATGATAATGATTAGAGAGCGCAAAAGCGACCACTACCAGATAACAACTTGCCATACGGCCCATGCATATTGGAGAGTGAATTTTTTAACGCCATAAAATTATAAATGACCAATACCAGACAACATGCTATCAGAAATCTTCCACCTCATAAATGATCAAAACATAACATATCTTCAAAAACGACAAAGATGTAAGACTGATTGCTATTCAATATTGGCGGCTGAAATACGTCTTCAAAACTTAGCAACAACAAAGGAATTTGATATAAGGAAAGGAGTCGGGCGGGGATGCATTCTATGCCCAATGCTTTTCAATCTCTGTTTGCTGAAATAATATGTGAAAGACCTATCGGTGTTATACTTAATGGTATCTAAATTAATAATATACGTTACGCTGACGACACCGCAAGAATAGCCGATAATGCCAGCGATCTGAAAACTTTTCTAAAAGTAAAAAAAATCCTCACCAACCGGGATCTAAATTTCAAACTGAGGTCCTGTACGGAGCGTAAGTTGTCGCATTGAACCGTTCGAAATGTGGACTCTGAGACGGATGCTAAAGGACTCTGCGATCAGATTAAAAAACCTGGGGCACATTATACAGGGAGGGCGATATGACTTTCAGCGCCTCATAATACTACAGGGACAGATTGAAGGCATCAGAAGGAAAAAGTTGGCTTGACTCAGAAATATCCACCGGTGGATCGGTATCAGCGACTTTCAGTCCCTCGAGGAAGTTGCAGTAAATAGACCCATATCATAGGGAAAACGGAGGACGCCTAAGCAGGAATCTGCATGGCACATAAAGAAGAAGAAGGGCACGTAATAACGGTTAAATTGGAATTAGATCTTTGAAATTCTGAACACATTTGAAAAAGAAAAACGCCGCTTTATATTAATTTAACCGAAACGGATATCGCAACGGTGGTTACCCTGTGTACCGCTCGCCCTGATTAACATTATTGATAAACATAAAAAAAAAACGGTCACCCATCTGCTGCGTACGGTCGAATTAAAAATGTTTTTTCCCTCTCTTTTAAAAGCGCGAAAACTAGTTTGCGACTTTGTCGACTGACTGCGTACATACGCGGCCGTACCGTCTGTATTTTTTAAGGCCAACCCAAGGTCGCGCGCGCAACCAACGACCGCCGCAACGGACGTCTCTGATTAAAATGTGGGTCGCGTTCGACGTGGCGCTTCCTAGAATATGACGATTAGACTCGCGGTTAATCCATGTATTATATGCGACGAGCATTTGGACTTCGTAAGCGCCCCGATATTTCCGCTTTTCTACCCACACTCGTGTCGACGGAAAAACCCACCGCGTTAGACGACGAAGCCACCGTCCACGAAGAGCGATCTGCGAAATAAAACGACAACCGGCAACGCCGTGCGTCGCGGAAGACCTGTACGCGCACCCACTCGAGCACAGACCACAGCATCGCCTTAGACCATATACACGATTAGACGTGCGATGTGCGTGGATATATTTATCTATGTTACTCTATTTTGCATTTTTTCGATCTAAACAGTAATGTTTCCCGTACTACAGCCAATTTAAATTTTGTGGGGCAAATTTCATTTGGAGGAGACGGGTAGTAATGGCATTTTTTTCTTACATGTTAATCAGTGATTTTTTATAATTGTTTGCTGTTAGATCGTTTGCTAGATATACTTTGGTTTGCCCTTTTAATGAAGTATTTTTGACTGTCACATAAAGTAAAAAAAAGTTTATTTTTTGGGTAACTGAAGTATGTGCAGGGTGAGCCGTTCAAGAAGGGCCTGTAACTTCCGTCGAAACCTACGCGAGTTACAAAAAAACTTAAATACAAAAGTTGTTTGTATTAAAATGACTTTTTTTCGTTTTTCTAATCATCACTTTTTTATATACAGGGTGGTAAAACAAAGTTTCATTTTTTTTTAAATAGAATACCCTACATTTGATTGCATTTTTGGATAGTCCTTTCAAGGGTAAATTTAGCGCTATATATGAGTATGGGTATGTGATGCACTTTTTCGAACTTATTCAGAATTCAAAATTCGGGTTATGTTTCAACCATCGTTGGGTTGCTTATTAACTTTTTAAATTTTTTTCCATCATTTTTTCCATTATTTTTGCGAAAACAATGCTTTTTTTTAAGCAATGATCAAATTTCGTAAAATACGGGGTGTGGCGACGATTCACAAAATGATACTTTTTTAAATTTCCTTAAATGAGACATCCTGTATATTAATGGATTTTCGTATAGCCACTTTAATAGCAATTTCGATTATATAACATAGTATGGGTCTCTGACTTACCGTTTTGGCTTAATTGGGAATTATTTTCCAATAATACATAGATTCTATTACATTCATATTTAAAGGCTTAGAAATAAGCTCCTTAAATTGAAAAACAAAAATAAAGAACGTTCATGTCTTTAAACAATATATAGAAACCTGCCTGTCGAAAGACACAATCACAATAAATCCCCTCCGAACATTTAAATTAACATTACTGTACGGTTTCTGCTCTGGATGGGACGCATACTATTTTTGTATTACAAACCTTAGCTGAAGATTTGAGTCTACAGTTTCACTTCTTCTTTTTTAATTTCTAAGGATATCCATTTATATATTATATATTATAAATTTAATTTTTGAAAAATATTTATCGGGATTACTACTATTTTGTCGTTGCCTATATATATTTCCTTTTCATAGGCTACTAGATTGCCATCGAGTAGTATTTTACGTTAAAGTAGTAAATTGTGGGGTAATATTATATATTACATATGTTTATGAGTTGCCACATTTGTCGGAATGGTCGTATAAAAAACGATTTTTTTCTTAAAAATTTTCTGACACATTAACACTGTTAAATTAAATGAAAGTCGTAAGGTAGGGGTCGGGAAATTGTATATTTTTCGATTAAAGTGACTAAAACTTCGACTAGACAAATTTTGTCAAATTAAGTATGGTTTAGCAAACGATTGCTTGCTGATTAAAATTAAGTAAAAAACAGCAATATCTAACTCACCAACGAAACTCTTTTGCAGACCGAACCACAGCCAGTCGACGCACGCCACTGCCGAGCTGTACAAACCGTCGCGTTCCCCATTATCCAACACGAGATGTCCATTTCCCATGTCCCCCCAACTGCAGCAGACTTCAACGAATATCAATCAAGTGCAGGTAAGGAGACTGTTTTATTTTAATTGATAATAATAATTATAATATCAAAACTACTGCTTTTCTTTGTTAGAATTTGATTGTAAAAAAAATATGTTTAATCGTTTGACTATTAATTTACGTAAATAATAATACATTATTGAGTATATGGATGTCGTAATTGAAGAACACCCTATGTAATTAAAAAGAAATAGATAGGAGGAACGCGTTTTTCCAGGTATCTCAGAGGTATCCCTCACAAGGGCCGACCGCCCCCGTGCCTACCTCCGCCGCCCCGCCGAACCATATGGGTGGCGTCGGTCCGGGTCCCATCTACCACCGTTTGTACCGCCACCAGAACCGGATTTCCCTGCTCCCTACCGAGTACGGACCTGGCGGGAGACCCCGCGACGCCGTCGGTCTCCTGGGGACTGCCGGGCTCGGAGGGGCCGCCGCGCAAACGCCCGGCCAGAGCATCGTGTGCCTGGACGGCGGGTCCGCGACGCCTCCCGGTAACGTCGCGCAGGGGCAGCAGCCATTGAAGAAAATTCGGCTCACCGACAAGGAGAGCTTTCAACCCCTTCTGATTGATATCAGGGTTGGTGACGTTTTTATTTTAAATTAGAATTTAAAACCTCCTAATATTAATTAGGTAAAGTCTGTTCATAGATATAAGAAAGTGACTAACTGATACGAATTAAGGAAAGACCCGGGCAAGTTGTAAGAATTTAATATGGCCGAACAGGTCCGTACTTTGCTTGGAATTTAATTATTTGGGGTTTTGTTAGGAAAGATATTAAACAATATTTATTATTATTCACATTATATATCAGTATCACTATCGCTATCTTCGCCTGTTCTAATTATTTGTTCTATATTATTTGCAATATGGATATACGATTGTTCTGCTTTTTCTATATGTTTAACAGAATTTGCCCAACTTTGTCGAGGGATATTAAAAACTTCGGTTTCTATAAGTTTGAGGACATTGGAGTTAACACGGGGAAAACATTGTTACGACGAATGGCAGATTTTAGTTGGTGCCAAACATGTTCAATAGGATTAAACATACAGGAAGCCTTAAAACTGTATGCCCTAGATTTTTTGAATAATGATGACAGACGTATTCCTTTTGTAGGTTCAAGCTTTGTAGAACCTCAATTAATTGCTTTTTGCTATAATCTTCGTGAAAATAAACGTCGTTATTATACATGTAGTTTTTGGATTGTTGCTTTTGTGTCACATGAGGAAGAGGTTTTAGTTAACTGTCTACTGTGATAACTTGCATTGTCCATTACAATTACGCTATTAAGAGGAATGTTTGGAACCAGTTTGTTTTTAAACTAACTTTCAAATAAATCAGCGGTGGTGTCTTCATGGTAATCTAGAGAAGAATCTTTAATATTTTTTGCAGACAGAGAAAGCATGCAAAATAGTTATTCTTTTACCTCTTTTTGATGGCGCGTTTGTTTAACACTCATCAGTTGAGTCAACCCAACCCTTTTCCAGGGTATCATAAGTGTCGAACCAGGTTTCATCCAATCAAATAATTGGCCTTTGTTGTTCTCTGTATATCCTAATTTTTTCTAGATATTCCAGTCGCCATTTCCGAATTCTAAAAGATTCAATTAAAACTTGCCTTTTGTCAATTTTTTAAAATCAAAAACCCATGTGTTAAATACACTTCCATAAGTTAGTTCTGCCACATTTAACACCAATTTCATCTTTTTTAAGCCTCCTAATTAGGATATCTAATGTAGGCACGCATTGTTCCTCGTATAACTGGTAAATTTTACTTCGTATTATATCTTGATCACTTTCATCTACACTCGAGAAAATGTCAGCATCGCTTCTTTTTTTCCTCGCTGGAATGCGATTATTTACCATTTTCCATACAGTTGATGTTGGAATTTTCGTCAATGTGGCCATTTCTTCTAAAGATGCTTGCTGACACCACGTTCGATGAGAGTCAAATAAACATTGTTTATAACTTCCTTAGTCTCAATAGAATAGTGTTTTTGCTACATTTCGGCGGGAACGTCTCCTGGGATACACTAGACTCGCACATATTTTGCATAATTCCCACACGATTCAACACACGCTGTATTGCACAGGAAATAAGGATGATTACCAATAAACTTAAACTAAGTAGTATACCAAACCAAAGAATATTAAACACAAGATTATTTTCTATTACGGATCACAATTTTACCTGAATTTAAGTTCGTAATGTTAATGAATACCCATGGATAATTCCATTCAAAAGCAATTGATCACTTTCTTATATCTATGAACAAACCATACCCAACAAGCTATCGTCAGTGCAAGCAACTTTTTTATTACATCAATTTTGATTCCAAGATTCAAATTCCCACCACATACAAAAACCACTGTTAAAAATACATGCGTATACAAGTTACTAAAATTAAATTATCAGAGGTTGTCTAACAAATCTTTTAGAAAAACAATATTTTTTTTCATTTTTGTATTCCATCGCGCATTTACTTCCAATTTTACAAAAAAAAAAAATACAAAAATATAAAAACGAAGCTAATTTTATAATTAATACTTCATATATATTCTAACTAGTTTTCAAATGAGAAATTACCGAAATGTCTGTGGAAATTATTCCTAATTGGAGAATACGGTTTGTACTTCTCAGCTTAGCTTTTTATGGACTATCAAAATGCATAAAATAAGCTGCTTTCTGTTTGAGAAACTTTCGTCTAAAATGTATATACAGGAGATCAGATTATTTGGTTGATACATAGACATGAGATACAAATAATAATATTAGCTGTATTTTTTTTTTCTAAAAATAATCCAAGAATCCTGTTGACAAGACAAGTGAATTTCGAAGATACCCGTTTTGGATACCACAACTTTTGTAGAACTGTAATTCAATTTTGGTAACTTCAGCAGATTATGCATTTTATAACTTTTATCCCTGTTGAAAAGTTGCCCATACAATCCCATTGAAGTGGTGGCCACCATGCTTTTTTTTTTTTTTTCGAAATTTCACTTTCCGATTTCAGCCGCCGGGCGCTTACAATCCCCAAGTGGAAGCCATTTCGCCGATATTCGCAGAGCAGACGTCGCAAGAGGACCAGGCGTTTAAAACGACGAAGGACGAGCTGATCCAGCAGATAGGCAAGGTGGATCGGGAGATCGCCAAGGCGGAGTCGAAGATCGCCATCCTGAAGAAGAAGCAAGCGGAACTTGAAGAGATAGCGAACAAGCCGGCCGTCAAGTCGGAGGTCGAGGAGGACACCCAGCCCAAACATCAGAGTTGGCCCCAGGTAAAATTTTATAAAGAAACGGATTATAATACAATCTTTTATAACGCGTTACGTTGATGCGTTACGGAATTTTATCTTGTTCGTTTAGAAAGCTGATACGATATTATACGTTTTATCAGTTCATATTGTTATTTTTGAGGTTTACATTATTATTTAACAATTTTTATAATGTGTTACATGGCTGGAACGTCTCCACGTTCATAAAATGTTAGAATGTCTTGCGTGTTTTATATTCCATCATGTGTTACAGGGGTGGTTGTAACGATTTAGTTTTGGAGCACGTTTCGGAATATTGTCGCTCTATAATGTTTATATGCGTTACACGTCATACTTTTGTGTAATACGTTATAACACATTCTTCATAATTTGCTGCGTCACTCTATTGTAATAAAAAACATGTCGCCATTTATAATCGGTTGAAATCATTTTTTTTGTAAATGCGTAAAATTTTATAAAGAAACGTATCTTTTATAACGCGTTACGTTGATGCGTTACGGAATTTTATCTTGTTCGTTTTATAAGTTCATATTATTATTTTTGAGGTTTATATTGTTATTTACCAATTTTTATAATGTGTTACACTGCTGGAATGTCTCCACGCTTATAAAATGTTAGAGTGTCTTGCGCGTTTTATATTCTGTCATGTGTTGCAGCGTCGCAGTGTTGTAACGATGTCATTTTTGCAGTACGTTTTGAAATCTTGTCGCTCTATAACTCTTAACGGTATATTTTGCGCCACAATATCGCGCTTTTATATGCTTCACTTCTCACGTTTGTGCAGTACGCTAAGACATATCCTTGATAATTTTATTTATAATCGGTTACTTTTTATAATGCGTTACAGTTAAATTTATAAAACGTTACGGAACGCTCTCTGTAACGACGAACGTTTTTCCAGAAAATCTACGCCGAAAATCGCAAGAAAGCCCAGAGTGCGCACGCTCAGCTCGACCCGCTCGGTCCGAAAGTCGAGTGGCCGTTGTACAACCAGCCGAGCGACACATCGGTCTACCACGAGAACAAGAGACGCAACATGCTGTTCAAGAAGCGCCTAGTAGAGTACTTCAAGGTGAGCCACGCGGAAAAATACGCGCGCAACAACAACCTGGCCGCCACGTACAGCAAGATGATGCAGGAGTGGATCAGGAAGGTGGACAAGCTCGAGTGCAGCACGAAGCGCAAAGTGAAGGACGCGAAGAATCGCGAATTTTTCGAAAAAGTGTTCCCGGAATTAAGGAAGCAGCGTGAGGACAAGGAACGGTAAACGTCTCTCCGTTTCGTTTCGATGAGCGCTTAGCATAAAGGAGGGTTTTTTCCCGTAGGTTCGGCTTAAGGTTTAACAGGGTCGGGGCACGGGTGAAATCGGAAGCGGACATGGAGGAGATCATGGACAACCTGCAGGAGCAGGCGCTCGAGGACAAGAAGATGCGCAGCTACGCCGTGATCCCGCCCATTTTACTCGATCCCAAGGACAGGCGGGTGCGGTACCAAAACAACAATGGTTTCGTAGAAGATATGGAGGCCGTTTATAAGGTTGGTGGGGGATTTCAAATTTTCTCCGGTTAAGTTCGGATAATTGATGAGTTAACAATAGTCGATTAAGCTATCCTAAGTTGAGTCGTAGCAACCAACTTAACAATGTGATGAGCGAGTGCCCTAAGTTAATGTATCCCAAGTTGAAAACGTGGGGTAATGTTCTGTGGTAGTTTGATATCTGGTTGCACCTTTTTTTTTTTTTTAAGCACTGGTTCCTAGAAAGGGTTTTTTAAATAAATATAAAATATATTATCATGTACAAATATTTTTTTGCTGTCTATCCCTGCTGAAATAGTAAAAAAAATTGAACAGGCATTAGAGCGAATACTTAACGACAAAAAAAAGGAAAATTAGAAATGAAAAAAGAAAGTACAAACGATAAATTTCTAATAGACTAGTTTTTTTTTGTTTCTACTGTCTGTTATTCGCGATGATGGAATTCATACCATTTACGCTTGTATTTCTGGACCAGACTTCGGACACAATCTGACGTTTATTTAGGGGGTTTCCGTTTAAGATTTTGGAAGTTGCCCTTTCTCTATCATCAGTTTTTTTATTCAATGTTAAAGTGCATTTTTTGCTTTTGATGAATTGAGTAATTTTCGAGAGAAATCCATTTCCATATTTCCATATTTTTGGTCGTCCTGCGCATGTGAGGACCACCGCCAAGGAACATTCGGAAACGTTTTTACATGAGGTTAAAGGGCTTGTTAAGGCGGCATTTTTAATGTTTGCCTTTTTTTATAGAGCCGGCAGTACCTCAACGTGTGGACGCCGATGGAAAAGGAAATATTCAAGGACAAGTACCTGCTGCACCCGAAGAACTTCGGCGTGATTGCGTCGTACCTCGATCGCAAATCTGTGTCGGATTGCGTTCAATATTACTATTTGAGTAAGAAGACGGAGGGATACAAGCAGCTGCTGAGGAAAACGCGTCGCGAACGCTTGAGAGAACGGCTGCGGTCCACCAGGAACCAGCCGAGCAAAGGAGGAGGCAGCAATACGTCAGTCGTCGACATTTTAACTACGGGTGAGCGTGGAGCCGAGATTGACATAACCCTAATATGTATGGGTTGAAGGGCAGTTGAGCAAATAAAAAAATTACCTTTATGCTGATTGCTGATAATACTATGGAGTAGTTGAGGGGGTTTTGCCAGATCTATAATTATTAATTCTAGTATTCAAGACAAATGAAATTGATTTTGATTTTTTTTTTTTTTATTTAAAATTCTATTCTCTTTCATGTCATTTCTTATTTTGGATATCTCTCTTGTACAATGAACGGCTGCTTCAGAAGTGGAAAATGAGTATAAGGTACTGTTGAGAGCTCTTCTACGTAAGAATTTAATGCTTTATATAGGGCGACGTCGCAACGGCATTTGGTATATGATAGTACCCTTTGGTGAAGCTGTCGCTGGAAGGTGCTATCGTGGTTATTTGTGTTTTGCGTTGGTTTTATTGTGTTTTTGTTGTGATAATTATGGTGAGGGACAAGTGCAAAAAAAAAACGAGTTTTACTTTTTCCAACCTTGGTTTATCCGTGGTACATTGGACATTCAATGGTCCTTCAACAAGTTCTTCCAACCATTTCCATTCGTAATATCAGTTCCCATCTTTATTGCCGCTTTAGAATTGTTGGAACAAAATATTGATGGGTTGACGGAGTCTCTCTTTTATTTAGTCTGAGAGTGAACGTAATGCAAATATGGCGCATAGCAATAACGTTTGGATGCCGGTCGATAACGGGTTGCCTTGAAAGGAAATTCATTATTTCCAATTTTTACAATATTTTAGATGAATTTCTTCAGAAACTTTTACTTAAGTGTTTTACCTACAAAGAGACAAGTCTTTAGTTAACTACAGATGTACTTTTCCATTTATACATACAAATTGTTGAAAATAAAAAATATTTACTTTTATTTCACGCTCTTTTATCAGAAAAAATTTGAATGAATATTTTTTCTTCTTCTAATTACATCCATAAACAGAACAATTTGGTTATTGGTTATTTGGTATCCCTTAGTCTTGGTTTATGAGGAGGTCGACACCTCAGTTTATATTGTGATTATGTTATTCTATATTAAAAAATGTTGTTCGTTAAAAATAAATTTTAATAAATTGAAGAAACAGTAAAAATGCACCAAACACCACACACTATAGGAAACCCACCCGCTAAAGCTTCACGGAAGGAAGAAACTAAGAAAGACATTTCGTTTTATGTGCTTAAACTGCTTTATCGATCGATCCGCACTTCGTTTTACGACGCCATCTATCGCTTGGTTAGGAAGTCGCGTTATCGATGTCTCCCTTGTCTAAAAGCAGACGTGTTTATCCTCGTCGCTAACAGATGTCGCCAAAAGGTGAAATACCGTTTTTCCGAAAAACTTGTTTAGTTAATTAATTGATATTTAAGTGCGAGCAGAAAAAAATAAGATTATTTTAATTAGTTCCTAAATAACAATTTTTGCCCATAATATTATTTTTGGTATCTATATTTGTATTAGCAGGAACCTGGAATAATTGGTTATTCCAGAGTTTTTTTTTGCGTAATCGGAAGAATAAGGGGGAATTCCTTTTTGAAAATCCATTTTTTGATTTTTTTTTTGTCTTGTGACGAAAATGTAAGATGGCCGTCGTTTCGGTTTTAGGGGTGACCACCAGGTTGCAACGCGAACAGCAACAGCGTACGGGCAGCGGCACGGCCCGGGGCGTCGACCCATCGACGGTGGCCGTCACCGCGTCTTCTGCAGATCCGTCCACGTCGTCCACGACGACGTCGCCGCCGCCGAGCACCACGACGGCGTCTAGTCCGATGAGTGCATGTGGAACTACTACCACCACCACCACCACCACCACGGCTAACGGATTGGCCGCCTCCACCTCCTCGACGCCGTCGGCCGAGTGGGCGGGGCCTAGGGCAACGAGTTTAACCAGCCAGGTCAGTGTGTGTTATTTTTAATATTTAAAAACATTAATTTTAAAAGGATTGTTTCCCCTTGCATTGTTGTAATTTTTGTAATTGTGTCTTTACTGCGTTTGTTTTGTGGGCGCACGAGTTTTTATTAAAAAATTTCAATTATAAAAATGAAAGACAAAAACGACACAATGAAAAATTTTAATTAATGAACAATTTAGATTTTTTTTATTAATTTATTTTTTTGTTTCATAAACGCATCATTTATGTATTTTAAACATTAAACTGGATAACAAAAACAGACTATATTATTTATAATCTTTTTCTTGTGCGGTTTTATAATTGTCGCATTGAAAAAAAAAAAAAAAAAAAACGATTAAAAGAGCTTTCCGAAACCGACAAAAATTCGTAGCTAAAGGGGTTAGCAACTTTACTCTAGTAGTCATTTTCTAAATACCATAATCAAAGTTCTGTTGTGCCAGGCATTAGCACTCTCTCATTTTAATTATGCAAGCTTTATCTATGGCAGCAATGTTCCATTCGTTTGATATTTAACCGAAGAAAATCGGATCATATAACACATAAAATTAATAAGCTTCAGTTGTTGAACATGTTTTATCAAAGGACTTACCATTTGGGTTATTTTGTTCATGATTTAACAAAAGCTCTTTTCTTATAAAAATAACCTGAACTCTGGTATGCCAGAAATACAATAAACTTTTTAATACCAAAACACAAAACAGCAGCATACAAATATGTTTTTCCAACAACAGCATTTGACTTTATAATTTTTTACCACATGATTGTAATTAATAAATTGTAATGTTAAAAAATTCAAAGCCCATTCCAAAATTCATTTATTTCACAAGTAGGTACAATGTTATGGTTTTATGCAAGTGTAGAGTTCTCCAAAAGATATACATACCGTTTTTACGACATAATCCTTTGGAGAATTCTAATAGTAATGCCCTTTCCCCTGGGAAATTACAGCTTCCTAACTACCTGATGATATTAAAGATTCTTAACCAACATTACGCCACTCATCTACAGATCGCAGCACTGGGCAAAGAATTACAGGTTTCTAATTAATCAAAGAAATTACAGACTCCTAACAAAAATAAGGTTTTGCCCCTCATGTTAAAAAAAAATTGTTTGGGATCGGGCTTGCCCGTTTACCAAATCCATCTGTGTTATTACATTTATAGCATTGGGGGGGACAAGGAACAGTAGATAATAATATATTTACTTTCTTTTAGGATGATATTTGGTTTACCATGGTTGTGTGAATAGCCCCTGTATATATTTATATTTTTATACCTTGGTTATTATAAATAAGGTCGATTATTATTGTTAATATTATTATTAAATTTAAAGGTAAACAGAATAATTTATATTATATATAATTGTTTTGTAATTTTGAATTATTTTGGCGAGTTGGACCAGTCAGGTTATTTCCTTTTTCAATGAATTATTAATTTTGTTTCTACGTTTCGCTTTTTCAGTACTTTTCCGGTATTGCTTCAAATTTCTGGACCATTTGGAAAAAAGGAATAATTAACAGGGGAAATTTAAAATATTTTTTTAAATGGGTTTATATTTTGTTTTTTTCCTTTGTGTCGCTTTTTATTCATTGTTTCAAGTTGGTTTTGCAGCCGACGCCGTCGTCGTCGGGGACGTCGACGGTCGCCGTGTCGACGTCAACGTCTGTGATTTCGTCCGTCACGTCGTCGGGCGTGTGTACCCTGTCGACCACCCCGAACGCGAATCTCAGCGGTGGCGGCGGCTCGTCCGCCGCTACGGACGCCGCCCCCGCCACCGAAGACATCAAACCGGTGGTTAAGTTTAGTGACTTTAACTCGTTCGAGGACTACAACAACAGGAAGTTTTACGGCGGTAATAGCGCCTCCGACGGCGGGGGCGGCGACAACAAGGGGACAACGGACAAGGGTGCGGGGTGCAGCGAGCCGGTCGGCGGACTCCTCGGCGCGGCAATCAAAAAGGAAGTGATGGACAGCACGCCCGATAGTATTAGGTAAGTCGAAGAAAGGTTAATTTTTTTTTCTCTCGTAATTACGAATAAGTTCTCATAAATAAATTAATCAGAAGTGAGAAAACATTGTGGAATGTATAGAAACGAAAAAAAAAAATTAGAAAACAAATAAAAATAATAAAGTTACTAGAAAAGCTTTGTCAATATCAAAATTATTGTATTGCTTGCTCAAAAAATGTTTTATTTTATTATTTATTTATTATGTAATGATAACAATATGTATTTTATAAGAAATTAATATGCGTTTGTGATGTCCAATTTACCTATAACCCACGTCAATGAATACTTAGCGATTCGATTCGAATGGCCTCCCACCATATCTTATCATCACTTTATATTATCAGCTGTATTCCTAAAGCGCGTTCGATAGTTTTATCTGCTGTCATGAAAGGTTGCTTTATCGACCAACAATTTGGATTTCTCCCCGATCGCTCCACTGACCTAAACTGGCTTATATTTACAGATTTTCTGCTAGAATCATTGGAAGAGGGGTCTCACGTTTAAGCCATTTACACAGACTTTTCAAAGGCATTTGATAGACGAAATCATCATATCTTTATAAAAAAATTGGGAAACATTGGAATCCAGGGAACACTTTTGCAAAATAGTTATCATCGTACCTTACTGAAAGAATGCAGATTATGCGCGCCCAAAGCTTCCAATCCACTGAAATTAAAGTGCCCGCTGGTGTTCCGCAAGGATCACACCTGGGACCCCCACTCTTCAATGTCTATGTGAATGATATTGCCTCATGTTTTTGTCATGCATTTTTTCTATTATTTGCTGACGACCTAATGTTAGTGTAAAATGCTGATGACTGTTCTGCTCCCTCGTGCGTCGACACCTAGATTATTGTTCTTGTGTGTGGTCAATTTCGTATAACGTTCGCATACAGGTCATAGAAAGAGTGCAGTATAGGTTCCTACAGTATATAGCATTTAAGGAGCACCGAGGACTTGAAGACGTTGATTACTCGGAATTGTTATACTCTGCTGCACTCAAATTCTCTTGGACCTGAGCCCCCGCCGCCAGAATAAACCACTTCTTGGTGGATTTCAATTGTTCTAACTATGAGCACAGTTCTTTTCTTACAAAATCAGCCGCACTAGCAAATCGCTTTTCGGACCAACTTGATTGGTTTCAGAGTGCAAAAATATTTAAGAAAGAACCAAAACGCTATTCTGAGTATTTTGGAAAACCAACGTTTGTCATACTAGATTTGGGTCTTTATCTATCTATTTCATTCTGTTTTATTTTATTTTCTTTTTTACTATTTTGTTTATGTGAATCTTATTTTATATTGGTTGGTAAATAAATAAATAAATAAACTTTTAGCAGAAATCCAATGAGGTTCGTCAATTGGTTCCACGATTCCCCGATATTTGTCTCTCTAGGCGGTTCAGTTTTCCTTAAAAGTCGAGACTATTTCTATTTCTATGCAATAATTTTTAAAAAATTGACAATTTAGGGCATTTTGTTATGACGATTTATAAACTTTTCTGTAGTGTAGTGTGAGAGTGGAGAGTGGTTGTTAGCGGTACATATATTAGCGCTATCTCTTGCCTTATAATCCTATTAATTATATTAACGGCAGACACTCAATTAACCGAAATGATAAAAATATTTTTTTATTAAACACAACTTTTACTGCTATCACAAGTAAATGTTTATTTTTGTTATCGCTTTTTAATTTCTTGTTGGTGTTTAATTATCGAATTTGCATTTGTTTTTTTTTAAATCGGACCGACACTGTCTCGAAATTTGAAACTGTTTTCGAAGTGGGGTTAGAAATTTTAAAGCGCTCGCGTATTTGTCCCCGTTCGGGGGGCGGTTTCCTGCCATCATCAAACAGTTTCAACTTAATCAAAGTATCAATTCGCGAAATCGATTCGTAAGTTTGTCCCAATAATTGCGCTCTCAGCATTAATGCAGTAGGCAGTGGCGGGAGCGCGGCGATCTGCCCCCACCCCCCGGCGGTCAGGATCGGACCTGGCCCACCGACACACCAGTCGTTACCGTAACTAAGTACTAGCATAAAATTTCGAAAATAACATGATATCATGCGTCTGAGGTTCGATAATTAAAAAATTGGCTCATTCACGCAAAACTTGCCATACAACACGAGCGGCGGACTTAAACTATGTGGAAAACTTGAGGTGTACTGTATAGTAAAGTAACAGAGAAAGAAGGGACGTACCACAGTCGTCGAACTAAAAGTAACCGCAAAAGTCATTCATAAAATTTGCTGTTGTTGTGATCCAAATATTGGCAAGGGGGGCGGGTGTGGGTTGAGAAGTGTTCCCTAAATACGAATGGTTACTATGGTAACAACGTAAAATTAATTATTAAGCTTTCTTTCTTTTCTTTGGACATTTGCAATGGATAATACTAAGCATAAATACAAGAAACAAAGAAATAAGTACGTACACATGAAATGACACTTGGGTTTTTCACTTTAAAAAAGTCACTGTTCTCGCAGGAGCTAAAGGTAGTACAAGACCCACGTGAAAAGTCATTTCTCATAAACCATGTCGCTATTGTTAAAAAAAACTATTTGTTATTTAGTAATCCTGCAGTTTACGTATTATCGTAACTAAACCTTTCTTTCCTTCGCTGAGGCGTATATGCCACGTTTATTTGATTTAGACTCTTAAGTCAACTAGCCTCGTCTTGACAGAAAAATGGTGCCTCTTCCAATCGCTAGGTGACCCATAAGAATTTTCCTGTTTTACTATTTGAATTGATATCTTTTTCCGCTAAATGAAATCCACTAAGCGAAATCGGCAATTTAAGTCGTAACAGAAACTGATGAACAACTAATTTATAAAGGGAACGATTTTAGCGGTCCAGTCCGTCCCTGCGCTTCGGTCCTCGGCAATTTCCCTTATTGAGAGATTAAAATGAAAATGTTTGCCAAATCAAATATCAATCTGAAATATTGGCCAGGTAATTTCGGGGTCTCGACTCTCTCTCTCTCTCTCTCCTATCTTGCCGCTTTGATTTCGTTTTTATTTAAATGCTCGCCGTTAAAGTAAAAATGAAATTTATATGTAATTTATTTGTAATTGTTTCAGTGATCAAGCGACGTCCGCGACGGCTGCGTTGACGGAAAATAAGAAGAAGAAAGAGAGGCGAAAAGACAAGGAAAACGCGTCGGTCGAAACTAGCGACGAAGAAACCTCTGCGCAGGGTGAGTTGTTATTGCCGACTATTTTTGATTTTTGACTTTGAATACTTGTAGTCGGTCGCTATTTATACAAAAAAAAAATCAAATTTGATTTGGGTACGGGCGAACTCCTGGAGTAGATATTAGAAACTATTAATTATTTTATTACGCACAATAATATACGAAAAAATCTCAAAAGGACACAAGCATAAGGGAACTCTAAAAATTAAACCCGGCAATTATTAATTATGCCTTCGGTTTCGCCTACGCAGAGCAAGACAGAAGAAAAAAAAATTCAAAATGATGGGGAAATTCTGAGAAAAAACGATTTCAAATATGCGCTTTTTAGGAGCCTAAATATAACATTTTTTATGAACTATAAACAATTCGTGAGGTTAGAAATCGATTTTTTCCTGAATCAAGGAGATAGTATTTTTTTCTCCACCCTGTATAATCACAAATATCAGATACATTCAAAAAATAAATTTCCCATTCGTTACCGTTGCTTTCGGCTATCGCCAGAGGCTATTAAATTCTGTTATACTTTTAATTAATTAATGTTATACTGTTAAATAGCAAAATCATAAAATATGTGATAAAATTACCAACTTTACTGGCGGAAATGTTGTCAAGAAATTGGAATCCTTTGTCGCTGTTTTTTATTCCCCGATTTCAAGTAGTATTTGGTTTCCAGAGAAAGTTTTAGTAGTTTGGGAAGTATTTTTTTTGTTTAATCGAAAATAACTATATGCATATGGCGATAATCCATCTAACATGCGCACGCGCGAGATTTAAAATACATTCAACATTCAACAGCCGGCATGGCCGCTGACGGATCGTCAGCTTTCAATTTTCGTCTACCGCGCATGAGCGTGACGGTTTTTCTTCTTATTGGAACAACCCTAATATGTCCTTATACGAGGTAATATTAAATAAAAGAATGCTATAAGGCCCCTTTAAAACCTATTGTTCTTAAGTTAATTTGATAACGGAACTCTAATTGAAATTCGGAAACGAAATTACAATGAGCAGCGGTCAATTTTCAGCATCGTGGCGGTACATTAGGTTTGTTCCTACAAAGAAATCACGGATTGGTCTCGGAACTATAAGGTTGTTCGGAAAGTCATTTCGTTTTTTCCCGTCAGAGGACTTAATTACGTTTTTTCGAAACCAACTTCACACTTAAGCCGCATAACCATTATATGTCTTGAGAGCTGATATTGCAAGGCTTGTGTGTGAAAAAGTTCTATTAATTCTACGCAGTAGTTTTTGGTTGGTGCCTTTTTAAATATGGAGAGCAATAAGCAGCATTTTTACTTTTTTACTTCAGAAAAGGTAAAAATGCTGTCCAAGCGAGAAAAAAATTGACGGATGTGTATGGAGAAGGCGTGTTAACAGTACGCCAGTGCCAGAACTGGTTCGCAAAATTTCGATCCGGCAATTTTGATGTCGAAGATGCACCACGGTCTGGAAGGCCGGTCGAAGCTGACAAAGATGCGATAAAGGCATTAGTTGATGCAAATCGGCGAATAACCACACGAGAGATCGGTGAGAGATTAAATTTGTCGAATTCGACTGTTTATGGCCATTTGAAAGGCATGGGCTTAACCTCGAAGCTCGATGTGTGGGTGCCCCATGTCCTTACGGAACGAAATTTGTGTCGTCGCGTTGACGTGTGTGATTCGCTCCTCAAACGTCAAGAAAATGATCCATTTTTGAAGCGGATTATTACTGGGGACGAAAAATGCGTTGTATACAACAATGTTAAACGCAAGAGGTCATGGAGCAGAAAAGATGAACCGGCTCAAAGCGTGTCAAAAGCCAACATTCACCAAAAAAAGGTGATGCTCTCCGTTTGGTGGGATGTTAAAGGAATCGTTTTTTTTGAGCTTTTGCCGGACAATACAACGATTAATTCAGAAGTCTATTGTCATCAACTGGACAAATTGAATGATTCACTTAAAGAGAAGAGGCCCGAATTAATCAACAGGAAGGGTGTAGTGTTCCACCAGGATAATGCGAGACCTCACACAAGTTTGGTCACTCGCCAAAAACTTTTACAGCTTGAATGGGACGTACTGCAACATCCACCATATTCTCCAGATCTGGCGCCTTCCGACTACTATTTGTTCCGGTCCCTGCAAAATTTTTTGGATGGCAAACCCTTTACCTCAAATGAAGATGTCAAAAACCACCTGAACCAGTTTTTTGCCAGCAAGGACCAAAACTTTTACGAGAGGGGAATTATGTTACTGCCAGAAAGATGGCAAAAGGTGTTGGACCAGAATGGCCAATATATAATTTAATAAAATATTTATTCATTATACGAAAACTGTCTTTCATGTTCCCAAAAAAAAACGAAATGACTTTCCGAACAACCCAATAGTTTTACTGCGCAAATTCTAAATGATCGATCCAGTAACAAGTTGTGAGATTCTTGTTTGAGGTTTGCCTGACCTTCAAAGTAAAATTAGAATTTTAAATGTTTTAAAAGTTCTGCTAGAACAGGTTTTTAGTTCTGAACCTCTCAGAATTCCCGGATGGAACACGTTTAAGGTTATATTGCAGAATCCCGACGTCATATAGGAACAAACCTAATATTTATTCGCGATGGATTCCTTGCGTTCGTGATAACAAACAATCGATTCGTATGCGAAACGACACGCTTTATTAATATTAAATTTCAAACGAAAATTCAAACCGCTGTCGCTTGGTTCTCGTTGTTCACCGCCTCGACGTCGATGGCGCTGCTGCAGGTGCTGCTGCCGCCGCCGCCGCTGTCCGCCGCGTTCTCCACCTCTATCACGTTGTTCTTGTTGTCTTTGTCGGCCACCTCGTCCGCGTGGCACATTTTCCGGTGCTTGTGCACGAAATAGTAGCTGGGAAATTTGCTGCCGCACGTTTTGCACGGATAGTATTGCACGTTCATGTCCAACAGTTTCACTTCCCGTTTCGTTTCTGACGTTCGCTCCACGGTGGTGACCGGATATAGGTGTCTGCGCGCGTGTTTCTGATAGCAGTACTGCGACTTGAAAGTGTGGTTGCAGTAGACGCATGTGAACACCTCGCCGTTGTTTTGGTTCTCCTCGCCGCCGAGTTTCTCCATGATGTTGCCGCTCATCACCTTGTTCATGGCCTCGTTTCGATTGATCAGTTCTCTGACGTCGCGATTGTTCTCCGTCGCGTCCATAGAGACGGCGGCGGTCCCGTAGTTCTTGTTCACCACCCGGTGGAACCTGACGGGACCGTCGCAACAAGCGATGTCCACGATCACCTTCTCGTTGTCGTTGCCGACCGGATCGCTTCGCCGTTTGGATTTCGCGCCGGGTTTGCGTTCCGCTTCGCGGCTCGTGGACGCCTTCGCCGTAGAGTCCGGCTTCACTCTCTTAAACGGGGTGTCCTCGCTCTTGGTTAAGCCTCCTAGCGCGGCGGGAGTGAATGTAGCCCGCGTGGGAGGGGCCGGTTTCCTGCTGGGGATCGGTTTGATCACGTTCACCCTTTGGAGGTCTTGCGGTTGTTGTTGTTGTTGGTGGTGGAGGTGATGATGGTGTTGTTGTTGGTGCTGGTTCTGTTGGAGTAAAAAGTTGCGGCAGAGCTCGAGGGCTCGGGGCATGTGGAGAATGTGTGTCGCCAGCAGGATGTTGTAGATGTTGGCGATGTTGAGATCCAGGTAGCCGGTGTACATGAAAGTCAGCAGAGACGAGAACTCGTCGACGTTGACGCTGGACACCGCTATGGGGGCGGAGCCTGTACGGAACGCGGTAGTTAATTTAAATAAAATCTATTAAATTAAAAGAAGTAAATAGAGAATTTAAACATTTAACCAATTAAAAAATACAGTTCTTACGAAGGGGAAAACATGATTTACCTGCGTGGTTCGAGAGGGCCGCCTTGAAGAAGCCGCTGTGCGCCGCGAGTACCGCTTTGTGGGCGGAAAAGTGGGTCATGGTGGGGCCCACTTCGAGGGTGACGTCGGGCGCGTCGGGCACTTGGGCGGGCGTCGGCAACGAAAGATTTAACGGGACGGGCATCGGTAACGCGGGAAGGTGCCCCCCCGGCCCCAGCGATAACCACGCGCGATACAGGGAATACATTTCTGAAAAATACACGGACAAATATTTTAATAACAATAAAAACGACCTTTATTATCAAATAATAAATAATTTGAAAAATTAACAGTTAACCATACCAAGAACTGAAAATTATGAAAATGAACTCATCAAGACTACTACAAGAAAAGACCAAAAAAAAAGATAATATAACTATTTGAACCAGTCAAAACTGCAGAGGTGGTACGAAAAGCTTATATATAATTTTGAAAAATAGCAAACAAAAAAAAGACACCAAAATCGTTATTCCGTTTTTTTTTTCTACTTATTATTAAAAGTATTTTTTCTAGTTATTATTAAAAATAAAATTAAAAAAGAATAATATGTCGATACCGTGCCGTTCTTCTCTTACGGCGAACTTATCGCGCCAAAAACTAACCGGGGCGAGTTGAAAAAAAAGAAAGCAACGCGAAGTTTCGACCCCCCGCGCCTGTTGAAGACCCGGTCGGCACGCGACTGACGGATGTCTTGATAAAGTGCCGCCACTTTATAACCCCATAATTCGGGGGGCGCGCGATACGCCGCCGGCCGACACACGTCGCGACGCCGCGACGTTGCCAAGCGGCCGAATTTATCGCGTTACGTTACTTTTTTTTTTATTTGTTGGTTTTTGGTAATTTCAGTAGAGATGTTCTGGGTTCCGGACAACTAGAGAATTCACTGCGAAAAAAAATGAGGCCTTTCCAAATTTGCACGGGGCGAAATGATGCTGTTTTCATATGTGAACTTTTCTCAAAAATCGAACCCGGAAAATTATTCATTTTTCAAATATAAAAATAGAGTGAAGTAAAGATATAGTGACATCGAAAGTTGCATCAAAATTGGTTCGCTGTATCCAAGCAATAAATGAACTTTTGGACACATCTGATGTTTACTCGATGAATGGAGGTTATTACATAATGTATAATATCCATAGCCATATCTTGATGCTGATCGCAGATAAGAACATTATAAAAAGACAAGGATTTTCAAAACACAATGATCAATGTCGAGAAAAGCGTAAAAGAAGTAACTGAAAAGTTTCTCGGGAACTCTAAGGACGAAAACTACGAGAGTATTGTTCAAAATATGTTACACTTTCATTGTCTAGGTTGTAGTATGAGTTTGAGATTGCATTTCCTGTTTTCACAATTGAACAATTTTTCTGAAAACCTTTGAGCAGTGAGAAGAACAAGGAGGGAGGTTTCACCAGGAGATTAAGGAAATCGAACGTAACGCAAATGAAGCATAACGATGAGGACTGGATTTTAAAACGGGATATGCCCTTAAAAAGCCGAATTTCTAGTAAAAAGTCGCAGATTTCACTGAAAAAAGTCTGAGTGATTTTTTTTTCACTTTTTTAAAACTAGAATTTCACTTTTTTTTTAATGAATAAAAAAAAATTATAAATATTTTTTTTTTTTCAAAATAAAAGCATGTGTCAAAAAGATTAATTTTGTAGACCAGTGAATCTGAAATTAATAGGGAGCACAAAAATTCAACTCCTAATTGTTTAACAAAAATTACTCAGTACACAGAAAAATATTTATAAATTTTCGATTGAAATTCGGAATTAACGAACGGAAAAAATTTTAATCGTCGCTCACGTTTTGGCAACACCGCCGCCCGCCGATCCGGCACGCAGTTCAATTGGCGGGGAGGCGGTTTGTTTAAACGCGCGGCATCTTTATCGGGAGATCGCGCGGACGAGAACGGCTCTATTATATTCCCGTCGAGTGGCCGTCGGATTGCGCCAGAACAACCGTCACCCCTAGGTGAGTCGCGGGGGTGGGCTCGTGAAAGATTAGCGGCCCAAATTACGGAACAAATTCTCGTTTCGAAAGGGATTTGGGTCCCACTAAAGTTCGCTAAATAAATAATGCCCCCCGCCCCCTTATTTTAATATGTGTCTCTCGTCTCTGTATTCCTACACTGTGGCGGATTAACGTTATTTTTTTATCGCATACTTGGAACATTGTTACTGTTGTATTTCGAAACAAAATGGAAAATGGATTGCTTTCAAATGGACAACGGTCCAACTATATTTGTAATTTCTTACCAGTTCTAAATCTAAAATCCATAAGTAAATAAAAGTCGTCATGTCTTATGTGGAGTCGAGTTTTCAACTCTCTTCGCAAATCCCTTGGAGCTTGGATTTTTGTAAGACGATCTAATTGATATATGCATCAATTTTTCTTTTATAATTCAATTCATCTCCCGAAAACATCTTTGGTTATGTTGTTTGACATTTCGCTAGACTTGCGTAGTATTTTTAATAGTCAGTTATCGACAGGCAAAGTAAAACAAAGTGATTGGGTTGGTTATTGGTGTAACCACCTTTTGTCAGTGGTTAACTTGGTTGGTGTTTCACCGTCATCTGATACGTACCAATATTCAAGTTGGCCAGATATTCGCTTTTCGACTTTGATTTTATCTTTGACCTGACGAAAGCAGAAGTTCTGTCAAGAAGGCGCTGTGGGAAATCTTAAATTTTATAATCGGAATATATCGAGTTTGTCTTTTTTTTTTTCCGTAGCGTCACAACCCTTTGTGGGTCTTAGTTGCATCTACGACTCGTCTCCATCTGTCCCTGTCCAACACAACCTCCTTCCAGTTCCGTACTCCCAAGATTTTTACATCCTCTTCGATATTGTCCCTCCATCTGAGCCTTGGTCTTCCTAAGGGTCTTTTTCCTGCTGGGTTTTCTTCCCATATCCTCTTTACAAGACGTTCATTCGGCGATCTCTGCACGTGTCCAGCCCACCTGAGCCTTTGTGCTTTTATTTCGTTTACTAAACTCGGTCTTTTGTACATGTCGTTAAGCTCCGCATTCGTTCTTATTCGATATTGACCCGTTCTCTCATCTATTGTTGGTCCAAAGATTTTCCGCAACATCCTTCGTTCAAAGCGTCTTAACACTAGTTCGTTCTGCTTTGTCATTGTCCATGTTTCCGAGCCATACATTACGATTGGCTTGATTACTGCCGAATATATCCGTAGTTTTGAGTTCCTAGATATCAGTCGGGACTTAAACAGGTTCTGCAAGGTGAAAAAACATTTATTGCCCTTTTGTATTTTTGCTTTTATTTCGCTGGTGATATCGTTATCCGAAGTTATAACTGCTTCTAGGTACTGAAATTGGTTTACGCATTCAAAATTGTCTGTGTCCATGGTTATATTCTGTCCTATTCTGCCCCTTCCTGCTCTCCGTCCGGCCCACATATATTTGGTCTTGACCTCGTTGATCATGAGTCCTACCTTCTTGGTCTCCTTCTCTATGTTCATGAACATTTCTTTTGTTTTAATCGTACTGCTTCCTACCGTATCAATGTCATCGGCATATGCCAAAATCATTTCTGGGCCCTTATTTGTAAATATTTCCAAGCCAATATTCGCTTCTTTGATGGCCATGTCCAGCACTATGTTGAAAAGCAATGGTGAAAGTCCATCGCCCTGTTTTAGGCCATTGTTAATGGAGAAAGCCTCGGTGTTGTTCTTTCCTACCCTAACTTTGGCTTTAGAGTTTTCTATTCATATCTTGGTTAGCCTTATGATCTTTTTTGGTACCCCTATGCCTTCCAACGCTTGCCAGACACTTTCCCTGGTGATGCTATCATATGCTTGGCGGAAATCTACGAACAGTTGGTGAACCTCTCTGTTAAACTCCCAGCTTTTCTCTAGGAGCTGTCTTATGGTGAATATTTGATCTGTTGTTGATCTCTTGGGTCGAAACCCGCATTGGTAGTCCCCTAAGTTGTCTTCTGCGTATGGGGATATGCGTCCTCTTAGTACATTTGACAGAACCTTGTATGTTATATTTAGCAGGGTTATTCCTCTATAGTTTTTACAGGCCATCCGGTCTCCTTTCTTATGAATGGGGACGATGGTACCCTCATTCCACTCCTTTGGTAGGGCTTCTGTTTTCCATATGTTTTTCAACAGCTCTAGTATGGCAGTATCTAGATGTTCCCCTCCATATTTTATGCATTCCGCCGTAATGGAGTCCTCACCCGGGGCCTTGTTATTCTTTAATTGGTTTATTGCCCTTTTAATCTCCTCTAGCGTGGGTTCTGGCACATGCACGAGTTTGTCTTGGGCAGTCTAAAACCGCAGTGACCTGTCTAACTGATTATTTTTGGCAATCGACGTTATAGTCGGATTTTAGTCGACAGAATCTCGAAAACCCCAAACGACATCGTGCGCGAGTTTGCTACCATTTTCTGGCATTCTAAGTCTGACAAGACGTTAAACAATTCTTTACTTTAGTTTTTTTTTTTGACTTTCTTCTGAGTTGTTCCTCCTTGAGATAGTGAATTTTTTTTTGTAATCTCCCGATTTAACTAAATTAACAAATTGATACTGGCGGTTTATGAAATCCTCTGTAAGACCACTTGCAAGTTGGAGTCGAAACATGTTTTCAATTATTTCAAATAAGAAGTACCTGATTTTGATTGAAATAATATAAAATACCATCTATTCAAGACTGACTTCTAGTGTGTTTTCGTTATCGACTTGATTAAAGGCATTCGATCTCACGAATTAAGAATTTCATATTCTAACAACTCCTGAGCTAGCACGCAGCAACAAAATTCGTTTAAGTCGTTCATTTCGTCAGCAAATGCACCGTCGTGCATATAATTCGATCATGTACACCCACACTTGCAAATGATCATTTTTAATTGAACAATTTTTTTCTTCAAAATCAAATTCGTGGTCAATTATCACGATGACTGGTTACTTTCTAGTAAAATTCATTCTCTGCACTTTTCAGTGAACAAATCATAATGACGATAAAATAGGTGCTAGAATGATTATTAATTAAGGATGTAAAAAAACTTTATTTTAAAATTTACTAAACTCATATAGGGACCTGGAATGGAGACACAGGTTGCGGATGAATTTTCTTTTCCGGGAGGATTACACCTAAATCGACTGATTGTTCGATTCATGTTCTAATTCGTATCAAACCTGCAATAGTGCTACAAGCCTAGCCCTTACATTTTTGCTA